GGAGTGCCACAAGATGCTCCTAAGTGGAAGAGGGAGGGGAGGGAGGAGAGGGAGGGGAAGAGGGAGGAGAGGAAGGAGAGGGAGGGGAAGAGGAGGGAGGGGGGGGAGGGAGGGAGGGGAAGAGGAGGGAGGAGAGGAGGGAGGGGAGGGGAGGGGAGGGGAGGGAAGTTAGTAAGGGGGTATCAACGAGCGGTCAGGAAGTTTGACGGCCCACCAATGTACCCCTGGTATATCCCAGTAATATGCTGGGATGAAGAGGGTAGGGTCATGAACTTTTACTATATGTACACTCTATCGACGAAAATCCTCATCCTCTTCTCCGTCCTCCTCGTCCTCCTCGTCCTCGTCCTCCTCATCATACTCCTCCTCTCCTCCCTCCATGACCTTCTCGAACGCCTCAATGATCTCGTTCGACAAGTCTCCTATCACCCCCGGCTCATCCCTGAGCTCTCGGACAGCACAAGTGATCTGAGGAAGCATAAGTGATCTGGGGCTCTCAGGTGCGACCTCCCCTCCCCTCCCCTTCAGCAGCAGCAGCAGCAGCAGCAGCAGCAGACTCACCTCGTACAAGTACCCCTGCAGCTCCCTCGCCTCTCCGCTGTTGATGATCCACATCAGCATCTTCATGACTCGCTTCCTCGTCGTCGCGTTCCCGGCCCGCAGGGCATCGGCCAGACATTCGGCCGACTCCTCTGCACTCAGCGATCAGCGGGGAGAAGACAGACGAGGGTCAATAACCTGATTGAATGACCTTCGCAGGGAAGACGTGGGCAAGCAGCAGGAGGGCCTGCGATGCTGCCTCGCTGTTCTGAAAGCTTGCCTCCACAGCAGTGTAGGATGAGTCTGGCCTGCAGAGCAGGGCAAGCGAATCGCAGATGATGAGGAAGGGCTCTGCGTTGTTGATCCAGAAGGCCTGGTTCTCATCCGAGGACGAGTCTTGGAGGGCTGTTACTGTGTGATAGAGGAGCGAGTTCAGCATGTCCACCGCAGGCTCGAAGAAATCATCTTCGCTCCGCTCGTCCACCACATGCCTTATGAGGACGGCGACTTGCGGAGCGATGTCGTAGGAGTAGAGGAGCTGGATGTCCGAGTCGTAGCACTGCACAACCGCTCGCACGAGGCAGACGGAGTTCAAGGAGAAGTGAGGAGACTTGGGACTGCAGAAAGAGATGAATTTCTCCACCAGCCCGAGCCGATCCAGCACTACCCCGAAGGCAGGATTCCTTTCCATGACGAGCCTGGCGATCTTGATGGCAGACTGAGGCACGGGTTCGCGGTCCGTCAAGAACGTCGAGAACTTTGGGAACAAGGAGCGAACGAGGAGCTCGTGGATGATCCTGGTAATGGCAGCCGCGTGCTCCTCCTTGTGAGACCCGGAACCAGCTTGGGCCGCAGGATCGTAGATGTTCACTTCTGCCATGAGCGCAGCGAGCATGTCTCCTGTTGCTCTCAAGCATGTGTACCTCGTGCTGCCTCCCGAGTTGGTCGAGTCTTCCTCCCTCAGCGCTGTCTGGACGAGAACAGGAAGGAGGTTCGCTGTGACAGCCTCATGATTCTGGAGGACGAGAGCGTTTTGGGAGAGAGCCTCAATGACCAAGTAGAGCACCCGACGAAACTCCACACACCCGTGAAAGGGAGCAACCTCGCACGAGGAGACGCACTCGGCAAGATTTCTGATCACTGTCGGGTTCAGCGCCATGGATCGGAGCGAGGGGCTCGTGATGACGTGGAGGATGATGGGAAGATAAGAGAACGGTGTTCGAGGAGGCTTCAAATCGTCGCCCGGATTGATGGGTTTCGCCGCCGCTCCCTTTGTTCCGGCCGTCTTGCTCAGCTCTTGAGAAATCGATGCCACCAAGTTCGGGATCATCTCGGTGATTTCGCTTATGAGTCCTTCGATGCATCTTTGAAGATAGGCGTCTTTGTCTCGAATCATCTTTTCTATCGATGGCATGAGGCGTTTGTCACAGGCCATTGAGAGCCATTGAGGGGAGATGGAGGCCAAGAGACGAACAGTTAGGACAGCCTGGAACGAGCAAGTCAATGGTCCCGTACTGCAAATCAATGTTACTTCAAACCTTTGCTCGAACTGTTGTCGTTGCGCTATCAAACAAAGTCAAGATCGAGTTAATGATCGTCGATTGCTCGTTGAGGGACTTGAGCAATCGCTGGTTGGGTTGAACAAGAGCAACATTCAAGAGGTTGATGAAACCCTTCAAAACGCAAGTCTTCAATTCAAAATCTTCCAATGCAGATATATCACCTGTTGCACTTTCGCATTATCGTCATTCAATCTCTGTATCACTGATTGAAAGCTGATCTTATCTATGATCTGGCACGCCAGAGTTGGCATTAGTCTGACAATCCTGCTCATGGCCGAAGCTGCAGTCCCTCGTAGCGCCTCAACCTGTCACCTCCCCGTCATATACGAAAGAAAAGAATGAAACTCGACCTGTGCAGATGAGACGATGGAAAAGAGAGCAGAAAGAACTTCTACGCTCCTCAACGCAGAAGCCCTGAGCACAGCATTCAGCCAAGACAATCTCACCTTGAATTCCAGTACCTCTCATTGATTTGAGAGCATATATTGTCAATGGTCTGAGCAGCGTAATGCTGAACAACCTCATCCTCTCCTGACCGCAGCCCCCTCACCAAAACCTGGCCAATAATATTTCAGAAACTACCTTCAAGATTCCTTAGCGTCACCTGTAGGGCAGCTGGGGGCAAGCTCCAGATTTCATCCTCGTCCACTCTCTGGCCCTCAACTCCATCCTGGTAGATTCAGAATTGAGCGAGTGCATAGTTTCTCCAAGAAGGCAGCACAAACCTCGTTGGTTTCGGCCTGAGATACTATATAGTACAGTAGCTCCCCAAATGCAGCCATTGCACGCCTTCGAACCTTTGCCTCCCGATCCCGAACACCTAAGGATCAACAGATTAAATCAGGTAGGGTCCCTGGGAACAAAGATAAATACCTGCAGTGAGTGCAGCAATTGCTCCAGCTTGTTGCAGTTCAGGAGATATGAAGGAGGCAGATCTTACGAGGACGCCCACAGTCTGCAACAACTCACAGTGAGTTTGCAGCACAGATGCATTCCCCTCAAATCTCTTGCCTGAGCAACTTTTGCTCTGAGTGGCGCTGACTTTGATTCTCTTAAAATTCTGATGAGCAGAAGTCCAACGTTCTGTTGTAGATTCCTTCAGCAATTCTACATAAATCTGATAGTCTTCTCACAGAATTCAGGACAGAATCCGAGACGGCAGCATTGCTGGACAGATTTTCGATGTACGCAAGAACAGATACCTATCCAGAAGATTCAGAGTCTGCTTCAATCGCCAAGTGGATACCTTGGATGATATAGGCGTTTTGTCACCAAGTGCACGATGAATATCGGCAAGATGTTTTGCGAATTGTTCTTCATCGACGGAGCAAATTTCTTCATCGCTCTAATAATGTCAGAGTTAGACTGGGTAGTCTGAACTTGATAAACAACCATTGGCTCGAAAGAAAGGGATTTCTCGTCGAACGAGGGCAATGGCATCTTTTCGATCTTCTTGTTACCGATGATCGGACGAACCTATTGCAACAACGACTTCAACTTAAAATCAAGGCTTCAAGAGAAAAACCTGCAGGTCGCCAAGAAAAAACAACAACTCAGCAACCGATGGACCAGCCGCGCGTCCTTGACTTTCAGCTTGTACAGCAGCGAAGGCTGTGATCGGTCGCCCTGTCGCATCTTGCCTTTCTGCTATCTGAGCTTTCTTCTCAGGATCTGCAGGCATTGGAGCGCTAAGAGGTCTTGATACAGCCTTGTTTTCAACATTTCCATAAATGTCGCTGTCAGTGGTTTCAGCCTCAATATTGTACGCAACTTTTCCCGATACTGGTTCAGCAAATTCTTCATCACCGTCCTCGATTTCATTTTGAAAGTTCTCTTCTGCTTCATCCTGCACATCAGTCTCTGCATTTGCACTTTTCCTGCTCTGTGCTTTGCTGTTGTTTTCTGCTGCTGAAGTGAAATCAACTTCTTCATCTTGCCCCAGCTCGAACTCCCCTACCGCCTCGTTCCCACTTTGCTTTGTGCGATAAATGCTCGCATTAGATGTCTTGTCCCGGTTGTTCTCAACGACCTGAGAGAGTCTGACAATATCTATCCCACTTTTGCGAAGAGAATTGTCTTCATGACGAGTTCGAGGCGAACCTCGCTTTGGTGACTCAACTTCAGCATCCTCACTCTCCTTGACCTGCTCTTCCTGTACCTTGGCACAGAATTCTTCAAATGCAGGTTCATTTGGCATGTTCGCTTCAGGAAGCTCCTGGGCCCAAAAGGGATGTGTCCTAACTTGCTCCCAAGATATTCGATCAAGCACATTCTTTTCTAGCAGGGCGCCACACAGGTCGTTGAAATCCTCCGACAAGTTCTGGAGCGGAACATACGAGTCCGTGACGACTGAGGTTACAAGAGCCTTGAAGTTGGACTTGAGGTACGGAGGCCTTCCAGAAACCATCTCGTACAGGATGCAGCCCAAGGCCCACAGGTCGGAGGCAAAGCTACACACACCGTCAGGGCGAAAGAGTTCTGGAGCCATGTAAGTTGGTGTTCCACGTTTGCAACGTTGACTCTCGTCACTCTGAGGGTCATTGTACGTGTTGGTGTGCATTGCTAGACTGAAGTCAGACAACTTAAGCAGCCCCTGAGCATCCAACAGTATGGTCGAAGGCTTCAAATTGTTGTAGACGATTCCATTGCTGTGCAAGAATTGCAAGGCAGCCAGGAGGTTGAGGCCCAGCATATTTGCAGATAGCTCTGGTAGTTTCAGATCAACTTGCAACATGTCTATCAGGCGATTTCCGGGACAAAGCTCCAATATCAACCAAAGATGGTTTGCGGTTTCAAACCATTCATGAAACTGCACTGCATATGGAGTTCGGAGCCTGTGCAAAAACCGAACTTCGCGCATAATCTTTTGTTTCTGCGACTTGTCGACACATTTGAGGGCATAGAATTGTATCGTCTTCTTCTTCCTGCCCTTGTAAACCATTGCGTGTTTGGACTTGCCAATGTCCTGCATGATTTGATAATCGTTCATGGCTCTTGAAAGGCGCCTCAAACTACTTTTCTTAGACTTGCAGCAGCTTCATATCATCGACATCGGCTATAAAGTGCCTGGAGTCCCAAGAGAAGTTCGATATCCTGCTCTTAGATCAGTTCATGATGAGTCGTAACAGGGACCCAGCATTTCAAATCCTCTGCATCACGTTCGTGTAAGACCATCAAACAGACAACGGCTCCATACATAACAACAATCACTCGACACAAGCAATCAGTCCTTGCTTCTATCTCTTTCTCTTCGCCATGCCACATCCACTTACCGTTCCTGTTCCAGTGAGGCGGCATGGCGGGAAATATCAACAGCAGGACTACAACCCTTCTCCCTCATGCACCCCGACAGATAGCACCCCACCCCAGGCATCTCTTCGACCTCAAAAATACTACCCCCTTTCTTCCAGTGAAGTACCCACCCTTATATATGAGTTTTTCAAGGCCTTCATATACCCACCCATACTCGATGTACCCCCGTGACTCCCCAAATGCTGCTGCATCATTGCCCTCATCCCACATTTGTTTGCCCTCATCCCCGCTCATCGTGATTTTGCTCATCGCCCTCATACCCATTTCTGACGGGCGAAGAGCCGCCTGGCCATGGTTGTTGCGTAGCGGGGGAGGCAGAGGGCAGCTGGAAGGCGACGAGGAAGAGAGGAGGAGGAGGAGGAGAGAAGAAGAACAAGGAGAGAGGAAGGAGCAGCATAGTCTTGCGCCAACTAGGTTGACCATGGAGCTGCGTCGTAGCCTCATAGCCTTCAGCTCTGTCTCTGCCGTCTGTCTCTCGCTCATGCTCGTTGTCTGGCACTATGGGGGAGCTCAGAGTGTCACTCTGCTGCACGAAGCTGAATTCACATCAGCAAGAAATGTAAGATGCTTCCTCTCGCGTCCTGTCTTGTCCTGTCCTGTGCGCCCTCTCCTCTCCTCTCCTCTCCTCTCCTCTCCTCCTCTCCTCTCCTCCCCTGACTTTGACCGTTGTGTTGAACTTTGCAGAGATTATCCGCAGCCATGATAAGTGGCGACGTCTTCGGTCGAAGGAGAGTAAGCGAGCAGAGACAGGTCAAGTTCCAGCAACCTCCTTCGTCTCCTCAGAAATACTACAAGGGAGATGACATCAGCGCAATGAAATCGGAAGTGAAGCATGCGAGTGATCAAGTGCAGCGGCTGAGCAACCGAGACGTCGGGCTGGAGAGGGTCGCGGACTCCAACGCATTGGAGGACCTGAAGAGGTACGATGACGTGTTCAGCCAAGGGTTGGACAACTACAAGCAGACCCAGCAGCACATCGATCATCTCAGCTATAAGACATTCCATCGACACGACGTGAAGAAGCCTGTAAAGCCCGCCTATGACCCTTTTAAGGATGAAGAGCGAGTGTGGAACAAGGCTGGAGTGAGCGGGTAGGAGCTGTGGAGTGAGATGTGTTGAGGTGACGAGGGTTGCAGTGACGTGTTGGGCGTCCCTGCGGAATACCATCACTCGATCTCATCGAACCCAGGAGACTTGAAGAACGTGCCTGACTACGTACGTGCCAAGTTGTGCTTGCTTCCAGGGGAGACTGAGCATTACGACAGGTGAAGCGAGCTTACAACGAGCTGGGCAGTGGGGCTGTGGAGGCCATGAAGGAGAACTGGCCCGTTGCTCCCAAGGGGCATCAGAAGAGGGAGAGGGCAAGGCCACGGAACATCAAACCGATGAGCAGCCGCGCCTCGCACATGTCGAGCAGGCAAACAGCGAAAGCACGTGCTCTACAGCAACCAGAGCAAGACGAGGTGACGCCCTCCACAGCGGCCTCAGCTTCAGCCACCCGAGTCGTGCAGCGTTCGAAGCCTTCGTTGAGCAAAGAGATGGTCAAGGCTGTGCAGCAGGTCGCGAGCCCGCTGGTGTGGGCGAAAGCTGTTCCATTGCAACAACCAGTTGTGGTGAGTTGAGATTTTTGAACATCTTGATGTTTGTTTGATCGTTGAGCTCACAGACTCGAACACAGCCGGTAAAGGCTGTCGATATGCCCAACATTGAACGACATGCGAAGGTGACTCTTTTATTCTTCCTCATGTTCCCTTGCTGACTTCAAGTTCTTCAGCAGCAGCAAATCGCGAAAGTTCAACAGCCTCAGGCTGAATCGAAGGAGGCGGTGCGGAAAGCAGTGAACATTGAGATGATACGCAAGATGGCGAAGCAGTATGAAGACAGTCAGGCTCCGGTGCTGTCCGACTTTGTTGTTGGCTCATGGGCTGACATCTCTGACGACAGGTTAAGAGGTCTCCTGCACGTCTCATCACTCCCACGTCTTCGGCTGCGGTTGAACCAGCACCAGAATCCAAGGGGGACGAGCTCAAGAATGAAATCTCGCGGCTTCACGGGGAGATCGCGAAGCTTAAGGTAAGACAAGTCGCTGATGAGAAGCTCTTGCTCAAAGTCTCTCGTGCAGGAACAAGCAGAGATCCGCAAGCTCAAGAGGCAGATCGTCAAGCTGAAAGTCTCGCTAGTGGGCAAGCTCGCACAGGAGAACAGTAACTCCTCTCAGCCTGAAGAATCGGCTGCGCAGGAAAGCCAGGAAACCCCTAAGGAGGACAATCAGGAGAAGGACAATCAGGAGGAGGACAATCAGGAGGAGGACAATCAGGAGGAGGAAAATCAGGAGGAGGAGAATCAGGAGGAGGAGAATCAGGTGGTCCAGGAGGAACCAGACAGCAAGGTTGCAGAAGCAGAGCATGATCAGAAGTCAGCTCCTGCTGCTGCCGTTGCCGCAGATTCTTCTACTGAGGCTGTCAGGCGAAAAGTCAAAGTCTGCGATGGCCTGGGCTGCTACAGCCAGGCGCTTCCACACCAGCCGGCGCCAACTGAGATGTCGAGCCAGCAGGAGAAGGACGAGGCTCTCCGAGGAGGAGGAGACCTAGGGAGCTTTTCTTCCCCGGCAAGAACACTTGGGAGCCCGAAGTTCATCTCAACAGCCAGGGAGAGATCCGAGCAGACCATGACGACCCCAACGGGCACTTGATGCCCCACAACAAGTACCAGACTGCCCTTTACCCCGACGGTCGCCACAGGCAGCGCGATGCTAAGAACAGCCAGCCGGGGATCACAAACTCGGTGGCCTCGCAGCTGTTCGAGGACACCATCGTCAAGGCGGCCCCCGGGTTTAACGCGGGGCTGGGACGCCACACGCGAGCGCAGGAGGCGGAGGACTGGGAGAGGAATTGGGAGACGAGGATCTACGACAAGAGGACGGGAGAGACGCTCGTGTAGGTGGAGACGTCTGAATGAAAGCAAACGAATCCAACGACTTTGATTTGTTTTCACTCAGCCGAGTACCTTAAGACAGACTCGTAGTCTTTGCTGTTAACCTCCGCCGTCGTGCCTCTCACCCGATCACTGCCAGTCGCCGCGCTCACAGTCCACCTCCCGCGTCCTCTCCCGTGCTGATCATCTTGCTGGAGAAATTTCGTTCAGAAAGATCAATCCCCCACTCGTATCGCTCGAGGGCTCTGCATGGGGAGGACCTGCGGGTTGAGCCTCATCGCGATTGTCGGCCCTCGCGTGCTCCGTGGCATTGTCGTCTGCTGTTTCACAGACGACCCTCTCCTCCTCCTCCTCACCCTCACCCTCCCCCTCCCCCTCCTTCACTTGTCGGAGATAAGCTGCGAGGAAAGATTCAGGACGTGGGAGGAGGAGAGATGGAAACTGACCGGTGAAGGGCGAGCGGCAGACAGGACATAGCTCAAGGCGGGAGAAGCAGCTATGGCACACGCAGAGATGGCGACAAGGAAGGAGAGTTGTGTCCTTGGGTTCGCTCAAGCAGATGACGCAATCCTGATCAACCTCATCACAAGGGACAAGAGCAAGAGATGTCGAGTAGACGACATCTTACTTCCTGCCCGTCATCTTCTGACTCGCTGCAACCAAAGATCTCTTGGGAGGTGTATGCTGCCTTGTTGGTCAAGATAATCTGCTTCATGACATTCATAGTCTTGCTGCCATCTTGACTGGCATTCTACCGAACAACCGTCACTTCAAATCACGTCAAACAAGTGACTTCTTGCCTTTGATTCTTGCAACACTACCAGGACGAGATTCACTGACTCCGCATCTTTGCCCTGCCCCCTGTGAGCGGCCGATTCATGCATCTCCTCACCGAGACCTTGAATAGACAAGAATCTGTCAGAAAATTGAACAGAGCAAGAGAAGGTCCGACCAGAAAAAGAAAATCTCACTACTGACTCGCATCAAGACAGAATACTCTCAATTCCTACCCTCATTCGAAACAACAAGCCTCATTTAAACCACTCGCTTTCCTTTCCCAATGCACCCAAAATCTCTCATCACCGAGTGCTTTTGCAGCGATCAGGAGGGTGAAGGTCGCGTCTCCGCCGTTTCCTCCTTCCTCGTTTGCATGCGAGCTGGCCTCATTGTTTGCAGCAGCATTTCGAGCCCCTGCAACAGCATGAGAAACGTCGGGAACAACAGGATGGACGCACTTGATCGATTAGCAGAGGGAGAGGGAGAGGTTTCCTGCCCATCCTATCCACAACAACATCAGGAGGCGGCAATGGCTCCCTGAAAGTCCGCAACACAACCTGAGCATCGGGGTGCTGAGAATGCGGGCAGAGCTGCAATTCAGACGTCTGAACATTGCCCTGGAGAATTTTCAAACCAACAGAACAATTGAAAGGGATGTCGAACCTGTTCGCAATCGAACACAGTCCATTCGGAACACTTGTCCGTGATAAACACGCGGGACCTAGATAGATCAAATCACCCTCCCAGCTCATCCATTCGGTCGGCGAACCTCGCACAGCAATGATTGTCCGTAAACAGAGGGGCTTGGTTATTCCTAGGCTCGACCTCGATTGTTTCTGAACCATGCATCGTGTCTATCTTCTCCATCTGAAAGCACCTCACAACGGCGATGATGTCAAAGAGAAGAATCACACCTCAAATTCAAATGATCTGTGTGTTTCTCTATCTTGATTGACTGGATTCCAAATCAACCAAATCAAAGGGAAATTCATGACGAGCAGACGGTTTGTTGACCTGATATGTATCTCCTTCCAAAGATCCTCTTCTTCTTCCGCCCATGGGTAACAACATTCTCTACATGAAACAGTCAACACAGAAAAAGAGAACGAGAAGGTCACAGCACCTCCTGGACCGAGCCTTTCATTGTTAAACCTTGATACAAGATCCTGAGTTCGATCCAGTTACATCTCAACGGAACCTCTGACCGCCACAACCTGAACTGCAGCAGCAGAAACGTGCCAGTAGAACTGAATGCCAACTCGCTCCCTCGCCATGTACCTAGTACACTCCGTTAGCCTCGCTCCTTCAACAGCGCTATCAAGATACTTGAAGTTCACCCTCGTCACACCACTCAGCGCGTCATTGATCTGCTGCTCCATCATGCACCAGCTCTCACATTCGGCCCACGAGCCGACAGCTTTACCGTGATGCTGCTCTTCTCGACGCTGAAAGGGATGGCCAGTTCATTCACATCGATAGGAGAACAAATCCTCCTCGCTCGCAGCAACTGCACGTGGGTTCAGCACTCATGATAGGAGGACAAGAGACATCAAAGCGACGAGTGAGATCATACATCATGTCGATTGATCAGCAATTACAGATAAATCATCGCAGTTGCACACCTGTTGTTGCATGTTCGTTCTCCATAACATGCGGATTTCACCAAACAGGCCCCCACGCTCCTGGAATGTCATGGAGGTTGTTTGTAGACGAACGACCTGAAGAGTGCAAGGATCGTCAGACAGTTCCTCCTCCAACCAACCTCATCTACGACCTGCCCTGTGCTGACTGAGATGTTCAACCTGTGCAAGAGGAACAGCATCCTGAAGCATTCTTGGTTCAGCTCAGATCAACCGGCGGCAGCGTTCTCACCTCAACAGCCGGAGAAACCAAAGGAAGAAGATGATGAACCCAAAGACAAGGATCAAGTTCGCGTCCGCAAACGTCATCAGGTCCGTGGGGACCAACTTCCTGCAAGAGCGCGTCTCGCACAGGGACCGTCTGATTGCAAAATTACCTTTCGAACAGAACCGACATGCTCGCGCTGAGACAAGATCCACAGCAGACGGCGCAGGCAAAAGATGCGGGACTTTACAGATTCACCATCCTGACTGTATAGCAGACCATCAGACTGTGAAGACTTGACAAGGGATCAGGAGATGGTTGATGTAAAACCAGAGATAACGAAGTGTTGAAAGATGATGATGATTCGCAACAGCGCAATGGAAGATGGCAAGACTGTTATCGCACTACTATGGGTGATAAAGATAGGCATCATTCAGATGGGCTCGAAGGGTAAAGAGGAAGCAGGTTGGTATGCAAGCAGGAGATCAGGTGAGCAAACAACTGGAAACGCCTGGTGCAAAGGGACGAAACAGTAAAAGAAGTCACGTGTCCAATGCGTGCAGAGAGGATAGCATGTTGTTTGCGACAGTGATGGTGCTGGCAGGGGCAAGAGAGGGGGAGAAGGCGGAGGGTCAGGAAGACGCGGAGGGAGGGGGGAAGGGGGTAGACTGAAGCCAACGCTTTCGCCATTTGAGGAAACAATCTTTATAAAGTTTACTTAAAACAAGTGCAGCTGCTAAAAAAAACCTGAAATGATAGATTTAAAACTGCGTCCTGTACCAGGAAATACATTAGCTAAAAGTTTTTCAGTACTAGTAGGAGGGGGGAAGGTTAGGCACCGGGGTTTGAAAAGACGAAAATCAGGGGTCTATCGATCGATAGGGGGTGGTTTAGATAGATTTGGGCTATTTTAGCTCATTTGTCTGTTGTCTGTAGCAAATTAGATGAAATATCAGCTAAAATAACACGCTTCTGGGTAAATCGTCTCCATGGGAGGTGGTGACCGGAGGAAGAAATGCACGTGTCGGAGAGGAGGAGACGAGGGGAGCAGAAGACGAGGAGGGCAGGATGAGGATGATGAATGAGCTCAGACACGTCTCGACAAACCTGATAGCGCCTCCCTAAGATCTTCTCGCCCTGGACTTGTTGGTGATACATCGAGGATTCCGAAATCAGCGATTGCAAGGAAAGCCAGATTGTGCGGGATAGTCGTCCTTGAACGTGATAAGACGCTTGCAGGATCAGTTTGTGCAGTAGTTGGAAGCCATGGCACAGAGCAACATCGAAGACGAGGAGCTAGATTCAGCGTCTGTAAGGCTGCCGGTCTCAAGAGGTCTTAAGATCGAAGATTTAGCAGATTCTGCAGGGCAAGAGACATCCCAGCTCTTCTCTGCAGATGCTCTCTCCCATGCTATCTCCGGTTCGATAGGAGGAAACATCGCCATGCTGGGTTATCTGCACGTGCTGAGGGTGTCGTGGAAGCTGACTGCGTTTACGCAGCATTCTACCCCCTTGACCAACTTGTCATTCGAGCCCAGGCTGCCGGGAAAGGCAAGAAGAACAAGAAGTTCAAGAGCACCTGGAGGTACTACTCCCACTACCTGTGTATCCTTGCGTCCTACCCCTTTGTATTGGAAAGGATCTTAGGATCTTGTCTCTTTTGTGCTGAGCTGACTCAACTTTGTTCGAATAGGGCGCTACACGACGTGATTGCAGAAGAAGGACTGTCTGGCTTGTACCGGGGCCTGAACTCTACACTCATAACTCTTTTTGCTGCTAACTTTATCTACTTCTATGCGTTCCATCTGCTACGGCTGTTGTTGAATAGGAGCAAGCTCTTTCAGATGTTGAAGAAGAACTTGAAGATTTCTCAAGCTGTAATCAATCTTTCTATCGGAACCATTGCTGGAGGAATCAATGTGTGTTTTGTTCAGCCGCTTTGGGTAGCCAACGCAAGACTTAAACTTCAAGATTCCTCAAAGCCAAGTGCTGACCACTACAATGGCATGATTGATGCTATCATTAAAATTCGCCGCGAGGAAGGCTTGTTTAAGCTTTGGGCCGGAGTTTCATCCAGCCTCCTGCTATGCTGTAACCCAGCTATACAGGTAACAAACTTCTTGCAACAGTCTCAAACTGTTGCTGCCTGGCCTGACTTGCCGTGTCAGTTTGCGGTGTACGAAACCATCAAGAGATTTCTGATCAATCGCAAATCGAAACTTGGCAAGAAGGCAATTGAGAGCGAACTGCCTTTGCTCCCTTGACTTTTGTCACTTAGGGTCTGTCAAGTCTAGAGGCGTTCATCCTCGGCGCGTTTGCCAAGTGGGTCGCAACCATCACAACTTACCCATTGCAAGTGGCGCAGACACGTTTGCGATTTGGAAAGACATCAACATCGAGTCAGACTGGTCAGGTCGTCGAGTACAATGGGACTTTGGACTGTCTTGTAAAGATTTACAAGTATGAGGGGAAGTCTGGCCTCTTCAGGCAAGCATTACACGGGGGATGTCTAGTTTCTCACTTTCTCCTCCAGGGGCATGGAGACCAAACTTTGGCACAGTACCTTGATATCTGCTCTCATGTTCTTGACCTATGAGAAGATTCAAAGGCTCGTTGGAAATGCTATCATTGCCAAGGTTGCCAAGAAGAGCAAAGTTAACTGAGCGCGTCGCGGCCCACTGTGTTCGCTTCAGTGGTTGATGTCGTGTCCGAGAATGGTGGAAGCCAAAACAAACAAGCAAGATAATTGCCTTTTTGTATGTTCATCCTTGTCTGTTTAATGAAGGACTAATTGATCTTGGATAATATCCGGTCCTTCAGCTGGTCTTGCTTCATCACTCCCTCAAAGCCTGTCATGCTGTCAGCAGACCTCCATGAGAATGAGAGAATCGCTCACGATCGACTGGTTGACCATCCTTGAAAAGAATACAAGTAGGCAGCGCATGCACGTTGAACTTGTTGGTGATGTTGGGATACTTCTCGGTATCAATCTTGACGATCATAACCTGCCCGACATCAGTAAATTTCTTAGTAAACAACCTGATTCAAGTCACCTTGTCACCAATAGTTTCGCTCAACGACGCGAGCTCCTTACTCATGATAACACACGGGCCACACCATACCGCATAGAAGTCAACCAGCACCTGCCAGCACTTGTTCAGCTGCCATCACAGTTACGACTCTCTGCTGACCGGCTTCTCAGAGCTGGCCAGGAGATCATCAAAGTCCTTGAACTGTCAAGAAAGCAAGTCAGCTATCATCATAACATATTGCAAGCAGCTCGTGATGTTGATTTACCGTCTTCTTGGCCATCATCTCGAGCTTCGAGCGTCCGTGCGTTCTCAACCTTGGGAAAGGGGGCCGTTGCGAAACTTTGGCAGAGAAAGGCGCCAGGCCCCGACTCAGCGAGTGAGTTCCTGGAGCCGGCATGAAAGCACTACATACGGACAGAAGAGAAAGGATGAGAACAGCGTTGATAGTCAGGGACATGCGGGCAGGAGCAGCAGGAAACAAAGCTAACAGCATGCCGCGGCGTCTTTCAAGCTGAGGAATATTTGGAGTTTAGGAGGATGAGGGGGATGATAACATGGGGAATCATGCAAACTCTCAGTATCCCGGATTTCGCTGCCTTTTTCGTTTCCTAGTATTTTATTGAGGCGGGTTTGTAGGCTTTATCCTCGTCCTCGTTTGTTTGCTCCGGTTTGCCTTCCTTTTCAAGTTTTCAGTCAATAAAGAGCCTCAGACTCGGATCCCAGGCCGGGCCGCCGGCCTGCCTGCCGCCGCTGAGTGCTAGCGGCGGGTCCGAGTGACCTAGTGAAGACGTGAAGACACTGCCGCTCGGACTCCCGGCGGGCTCCCGGCCGGGGGGGCTCGGACTGAGCGGCGACCGTACGGAGTACGGTTCCGAAGTTCAGTGCACCGGGCGTGCCGTCACGCATCGGGGGGCGATCATGTCGCAGTGTGATGCCCGGAGACCGCCTGCCAGTCACTGGCGACCTCTTTGCTCACGAGTCTACTGATTGTCCTCGTGATTTTTCACTCTTAACTTTGAATAACAGTCAGGCCGACGGTACGGCGTCACCACTGGCCGCCGCGCGCGTATCGGCCGCCGCCGGGGGCCGCCCGCGGTCCCGCGGCCCCCGGGCCCGGCCCGGCCCGGTTCCGATAACAGTGGGGGGATGAGGGGCAGTTTTCACAACAGCCGGCAGTTTCAAAAAGTAGTCAAAGAGATCAACGGTGGTGAGCGACATCATGTTCACTACATTCTCACCTTGAAGGACTGAAAGAAGAAGAACGAGCAAGACAGGCAGCAGCAGCAACAACAACTACCGTTGAACAAAGGAGACTTTTTCATACCATCAAGCTTTGTCCGGTTGCTGTCAGGAGGGGAAAACATGGGAACAACACGAGACTTATCGGAACGGTGAAGCAGCCTGTGATGAACAACACAGAGAAGCGAAGCATGTCAAGCTTCCAGGCCCTCGAAGCTGAAGTGAAGAGACTGTCACAGGAGAAATATCAGCTTGAACGCTTTCTGCAGCAAGCTGCAGCAACCGTCCTGCAGCAGCAGAAGAAGATAGATATGCTCAAGTCACAGTCCTCTCCTCATGTGCAGTCCCTCACTCTCGATCTCACTGGGAGCATCGTCTAGGGAGTAGAGCCTTCGATGGGAGAGGAGAGCTTCCTATCCTTGCAAAACACCAACGACATGCTGTACTCCGAGCTGCAAGAGACGAGAGACAGGTTGAACGGATCTCTGTGGAAGTTGAACCATGTGGAGGAGCTTGTTCGAGATCTGATCCCTGAATTGGGAGAGATCGTTGTCGAGTTGAAAGCGGCGAATGAAAGCTTGAGAGAGAGCAAACCCTCTCCTGAGACGTTTGTCGACATGCTGCAAGACAGGGAGATTGAGATGGAGACGATGAAAAGCAACATGTTGCAGCTTGAAGCCGAACTGAAAGACCGCCAGTCGGCCTTGGAGGAGATGAGTTTGAAGAACTCTGAGCTCGAGCAGCGCCTAGTTCAGGATGCGAAAGAACGGGATTCGAGTCAGAAGGTGTTGGATCAGTCACTGACTCACCTGATGGAGATGGTGGACAGCCTGCGGGGAGAGGTAGAGCGAGCGTGCCTAGTCTCGCAACGGTCGTTGAAAGCCATGAAGATCAAGTATGACCTGGAGCTTGAATCTCAGGCTCTGCTGCTAGGTCGGCACGTGGAGAATGCGAGGAGAGTGCAGCATGAAGTGAGCAGCTGCGCTTCTTCTTGCTTCGAGAAAGCTCTCGAGTGCGAGAGCGTGCTGAAACAAGTTTGCCAAGTTTGCGCCGACCTCATGGCAACTCCGAAGTCCGACATGGCAAGTTCAGGCAAGCCAGGAGACCAGCAGGAATATTTGACGCCCAGCACGGAGGAACATTTGGTTACTTTGATCACATCGGGTCTCATGAGCTGTGTTGTAGACTGGCAGTCATTGCAGATAGACATGTCTGATACGATCAGCGGGATCGAAAAGGACATGGCAGAGTCTTACGCCGAGTCCATGTGTTGGAAAGACTCATCGACAAAGAACAAGGTCATTCTGCATTGTTTGCTGTTGTGTGACGACAACCTTTGATGTTATGTGATGACAGCAAAGCCTGGTGCTGCTGGAACAAGACAAGAAGGAGTTGGAAGAGACAGTTGAGGCTCTGAAGCGAAAGCACGGGGAGTATGAAAACGAGATGACCAGCCTCCGCGAGGAGAGGGAGGAATTCTTGCGCGCCGGTATCGAGATGCAGCATCGTGTCGCCCAGCTAAGAGAACAATCCGCGGAACTGCAGGAGAGGTTGTTGAGCGAGGAGAGAAAAAACTTTGACATGTACAAGAAAGATGAAAATCAGTCTCAAAACGTTAGCAGGTTGCAAGGGATGATAAGAGTTGCTGAGAACGATCTTGTTTGCATTAGCAAACAAGTCGAGGAAGCTTTGAGCGAGGCCGTGTCATTGAAAGAGAGTGTGATAGATACACATTCACAGTCAGTGAATCAGGCTGATGTGTTAGAAGAAATCAACCGAGTGCTGCAAGTCAAAGTCAAGGACTTGGAGGAAAACATCAGAAGAGCGGAAGAATGCAACAAGGCGCTGGAAGGCGACAAGGCGACATGGGACGAGCGTGAACGATCGATGGAAAGCGAGATGATGATGATGGAGGAGAAGATGAAGATGTTGCAGGGCAACAACCAGACGCTCGTCCAGCATGTCGAGCTGTTGCAAGAGAGTCTCAGGAGCTTGCAGGACCAGCAGGTCGATTTCCTCACAAGAGAGGAGAGCCTCGTATGCCTGCTGGAGGCTGTCAAACGTCAGCTCGCCGAGTCAAACTTCCAACGGATCCCAGAGACGATAATGCAGCGTGAGAGGGGCGATCTTGCCGTTAGCGATGGGCGCGGCCGGATTGAGGTCGCTGCTGGTTTTGTACAAGTGATGAATCACTTGATGGAGAATCACACGACGCAACGGTCCCTCTATGAGTCCGAGATCTGCGAGCTGTCGGACTTGCTGAGGACGAGGAACGAAGAACTTGTGATCCTCCGTCGCGGCCTCGAGGAAACATGTAGCGACGTCGCGCAGGCGGTGGGTCAGGTGGACCAGGGAAGGGACGAGCAAAGGAGCGACACGCAGGCATGCGAGTCCGAGGGGATGATGCTGGCTGGGAGGTTGAATCAGTTGGAACGCGCCATGGAGGAGCTGGAGCACTCGCTACTTCACCTCCCTGCTCTGATAGCCAACAGGAAGCAGGAGGAGCTGGGGGCGCAGCTGAGCCCGAGCAGCGCCCGGCCGATGGCTCGCATCCGAGACAAGGTGAAACTGCTATCGCACAACAGCGTCAAGTACACAGACACATGGAAGCTGCAGGTCTCCTTCCTCAAGCACGTGAAGAGGATGCTGAGCCGGCAAGTGACTCTCTGGACCGGCTCCTCCTCCCTCGCTGGGAGGGCGAGGAGGATGAGATCGCCTCGTCCCCCTCCCCCTCCTCCCCCGACGGGCAGCGGGCAGCCGTCCATGCCAGCCTTCCCCATCCTCGTCTCGGGTGCTCGGCTGTGGTGGTAGGAGGGAGCGTGTTTGTAGCAGGAGGCATCAGCTCCGACGGAGTGCTCTCGAGCCTGCTGGTGTGGGAGCTGCTGGACGGTAGCTGGCGCTCCCTCCCCTCCATGCAGCAGAGGAGGAAGAACTTCCAGGTGGTAGCTCACCAGAACCGGATCTTTGCGCTCGGGGGGGAAGACGAGGACGGGCACGTGCTGTCGTCTGTTGAGATGTTCGACCTGTCCGCCAACCGCTGGACCTCCTGCCCTCCCTTGCAGCAGCCGCGCTCAGACTTCTTTGCTTGCAGCCACCCGGTCATGCAGGGGATGGTGATGATCGCGGGAGGATGGGACGGGGAGGAGATATTGAAATCTGTGGAGTTCTACATGCTCGAGGGGAGGAGGTGTAAGCCTCGCCTGGAGGAGGAGGAGATGATGAGGACGAGGAGGAGTTCAGCTGAGATGTACGTGACAAGGAAGGGCGGGAAGGTCGAGCAGCATGGGGAGGTAGAGGAAAGACAGATGAAGGACGGGGAGGTGGAGGAGATAGCCAAGGACTTGGACGATGTGATCAACGTCATGGAACGGACGTCGGAGCTGGATGACCTGTCATCCTTGCAGGAAGACTTGTCGTTCCTCCTCCTCTCCATCAGATCGCTGAGGTCGATCAGCGGGTGGGAGAGGATGATAAGCAAGATGCTGCTGCGGTCTGTTGTCTGGCAGTTCCTCAACGTGAACAGCATGGCGATCGACCATGTGTTCTCGTGCAGAGGAGAAGTGATGATCGCACAAGTCACCTCATGCTATGAGAGAGAAGTCTTAGCCAAGTCGCTGAGCGCGGTAGAGGCTGCTGTGCAGCAGGTAGAGAAGAAGATGGAGATGGCACTGAGTTCTGCTGGGAAGACTATCTCTGCACTCTCAGCATCTCTGCTTGTTTGCAAGGAAAGATTGTGCAAGTCAGAAAAGAGCTTCGACGCAAGTCAGGTTGAATATGATGATGATGATGATGGTGGTGGTGGTTGGGTGGAGTGCCACTGCACTGTTGGTGATGGTGTTGAGCTTTTACGATCAAGGAAGCCCTGTTGTTGTTGTTGTTGATGATGATGATGATGATGATGATGATTACGAAAATTCACATGTCCTCATCGGATCGATGATAATTTTCTCATCGTGCAGACAATCGTAAATGAGCTGGCGGCTCGCCTCAGTACGGTCGAGAAGGCTTGCATCCAGTCACAAACGGCAAGAAATGTCCGCGTCAAGTTACAGTTTTCTGAGATGATGATGCAGGAGAAGGAGGAGACGATGTTTGTAGCACAGGAGCTGAAGAGAGCTGTCATGGTATTGGAGCATGAGAAGCAACAAGCAGAGTGTCTGATCCGCGACTTGTCGATGCACAACAAGCTGATACAGGAGAAGTTGTCTACCGTTGAGGAGAGTCGAGCCCGCGAGGCCATCGAGATCGGCAGGACGAAAGAGACTGGGAAGTTTGTGGATGAGTGCTTCGTCGACAAGTTGGAGGTGATGGAACATTATGTGACAAAAGCAGAACAAGCCATGTCTCTTTCTCTTCAGCCGATGTCGCAACTTGTTGAGAACCTCAACACGAAGAATCTTTTGTGTGATGACATCGCGAGGGATCTGATCAGATATCAAGAACTTACGTTGGAACTCTCTTCAGAGGTCGAGGAAATTAAGTCGAAAGGTTGTTAGACAGTGTTTGTTTCCTTCTAAGTGACGAGTGAGCGTTGATGCAGAGTGTTTGCTCGCGCAAGAATTACAAGATTATCAGCAGCTTGCAATCGGAATGGAGCAAGAGTTGAAAGAGAAGGAAAACCTACTGCACATCCACGAAGAAAGATATGAGACCCTTCTCGTGGGGATGAAGAACATAGCCTTTGAGTTGTCTTGTATCAAGCATGAGATGGAAGAAGAACACCTCAAGAACGTCACAAGTTGGGATGAGCTACAAACAATGAGGCAAAGGTTTCAAAAGACCTTCTCTGTGAGCTTTTCTTGCTTTCATGGTATAGGATTGTGATGCTTGCTCCAGTTCGATCAGGATCTACAACCTCAATTGAGAAGTATTGAGGTTGATTGCTCCTCTTCCTTCGTTCCACCACCACTATCTCCTCCTCCTTGCTCTTCCCCTTGCCTGCCACCGTCACCGCCGCCACAACCCTCCTCTCAAGTTTGTTGCAGGTGTCAAGTGAAGCAATCAGCTCGCAGCTCTCACAACTTCACTTACTCACTGCGAGGCTGACGACAGAGCGAGATCATCTTCGATCACAGGTACTCCTCCCTCTCTCTTTCCCTCCCTCTCTCCCTCTCTCCCTCCCTCCCACTTCTTCTCCTGCCTTCTTTCATTCCTCTTCTCCTGATTGTACCTTGAATCTGTTCCACTCCCTTTCACACTGCTGCTGTTCTCTCTATCTACCTCCTGCC